GCCTACTGTTACACAACCCTTCTTTCTGCTTTACCAGCCTGCCCAGACTCTTCCTGTTGGTGACTACAGGAAGCTTCTTAGCTTTCCTGTCCTGCTGTAATTAGTCTCTTTAGTTTTTGGGTACTAGGCTCCTTGGCATGGCTCTGTCTGCAAATGACAAATACCTTGAGATACTATCTCCCAGTTTGCTACTAGGTTTTTATTTCCTTGGGCCAACATTTTAGTAATTCTTGTCTACTCTTTCTTTTCCTTTGTTTCCTGTATATAATCTGTGGAGAAAAACAGTTTGTTCCTTTATTTTTTTAAGTTTTTATTTAAATTCTAGTTAGTTAACACAGTGTAATATTAGCTTCAGGTGTACAATACAGTGATGCAACACTTCCACACAACACCTGGTGCTCATCACAACAAGTGCACTCCTTAATCCTTAATCCATCCTCCCACCTCCCTTCCAGTAACAGTTTGTTCTTTCTAGTTAACAGTCTGTTTCTTGGTTTGCCTCTCTTTTTTCCCCTGTTGCTCCTTTCTTTTGTTTCTTAGATTCCACATATAAGTGAAATCATATGGTATTTGTTTTTTCTCTGACTGCCTTATTTCATCAAAATAAAAAGCTTCTGCACAGTGAAGGAAAAAATCAACAAAACTAAAGGGCAACCTACAGAATGGGAGAAGATATTTGCAAATAACATATCTGATAAAGGGTTAGTATACAACATCTATAAAGAACTTACCGAACTCAGCACCCGTTGTGAGTTCAAGCCCCACATGTGGCAAGTTTACTTAAAAAATTAAAAAAAAACCCAACACCCAAAAAACAAATAATCCAGTTAAAAATGGGCAGAAGACACGAACAGACATTTTTCCAAAGACATACAGATGGCCAACAGACACATGAAAAGATGCTCAGCATCACTGATCGTCAGGGTAATATGAATCAAAACTACTATGAGATATCACCTTACACCTGTCAGAATGGCTAAAATCAACAACACAAGAAAGAACAGGTATTGGCACGGATGCAGAGAAAGGGGAACCCATTTACACAGTTGGTAGGAATGCAAACTGGTGCAGCCACTCTGGAAAACAGTATGGAGTTTCCTCAAAAAGTTAAAAACAGAACTACCCAGTGATCCAGCAATTGCACTAATAGATAATTACCCAAAGAACACAAAACACTAATTCGAAGGGATACATGCACTCTGATGTTTATGGCAGCATTATCAACAACAGCCAAATTATGAAAATAGCCCATGTGTCCACAGATTGAAGAATGGATAGAGAAGTTGTGGTGTCTATATATATATATATATATATATATATATATACACACATATATATTCATATAATGGAAAATTACTCAGCCATAAAAAAGAATGAAATCTTGTCATTTGCTATGATGTGGATGGAACTAGAGTACATTATGCTAAGTAAAATAAGTCAGTAAGAGAAAGACAAATACCATATGATTTCACTCATATGTGGAATTTAAGAAACAAAACAGATGAACATAGGAGAAGGGTTAGGGTTAGGGAAGGAAGAATAAAATAAGTTCAAAACAGAGAGGGAGGCAAACTCTTAACTATAGAGAACAAACTGAGGGTAGCTGGAGGGGAGGTGGGTAGAGGGATGTGATAAATGGGTGATGGGCATTAAGGAAGGCACTTGCTGGGATGAGCACTGGGTGTTGTATGTAAGTGATGAATCACTAAATTTTACTCCTGAAACCAATACTATACTATATGTTAACTAACTTGAATTTAAATTTAAAAAAAGAAAAAAAAAGTTATTCTGCATGCCACTGCCAGACCCTTACTTTATTTTATAACATTCCTGCTAAAGATCTTTAGCCATTACTACCACTGTCTTACATTCAAATCTGTTTACATTCTGGGAAAATGCTAGTGGGACAACCATGTTTCCTACTGTTATTCAACATCTATGTTCTCATCATTCTACTCAAGCCCCACTGGCCCCTCAACCTCATTGGTCAATATTGTTTCCAGACCATTCTATATGTTGTCTTGTCCTTACTTCCTTTCTTAGCTTTGCCTATTCACATCTGATTTCTGCTTCATACCTCAGCAGCTCAAGTCCTACCTTCTCCTTGAGAACTTCTTCATCTATTCTAGGTCCAACCAATCTCACCCCTTTACCATGTTATGTTGAATTTAGAGTCAGTACCTCCAATTTAGGCAGCTGATTTTCTCTTACCATTTCACAAATTTGTTGTTTTACAGTAGATTTTATAGCTATTAATGGCAGGGATTTTCCATTTCACAGTCTGTTTCATTACAAGTGTTTGTGTACCACAAACAGCACATTAGCAATTGGTAAATAGAAGAATTATGTCAAAGTAAGGTGGAAGTCCAGTTGGTTAACATGTGAATTTCCTTAGCACTTTAAGTTTTGAGGTGATGAGGAGCAAGGTTTCTCACAATTAAGCATAAGTCCTAGCAATATATGAAGACTTTAAGAAAAAAAGAAGAATCTTGCACCAGACTCTGCCCCTTCAGTATGACTGGTATAGTGGCTTCAACAACCTCTAAGTTCCTTACATTAAACTATCTGGTGAAGCTGTGACTACTGGTAGTGAAGCTGTGAAGACATTTTACCACAGATTTTAACAAGTTGGGTACTCTTTAGATTTTTAAAAAAGATCTATTTATTTATTTGAGAGAGAGAAAGAGAGAGCACAAGTTGGGGGGCAGAGGGAGAGAGGAGAAATCTCCAGCAGACTCCCCGCTGAGCCCAACACATGGCTGGATCTCAGGACCATGAGATCTAGACCTGAGCCGAAACCAAGAGTCAGAGGCTTAACTGACTGTGCCACCCAGGCACCCCTCAATTAGATTTTTAATTCTGATAAAGATAATATCTATTAAAAGTTAATGCCCTTGAGGATCCACATCAGGAAGGAAGAAGCATGAAGGCTACCAAGCATTGAGGGTTGTGATGATGGAGTAAATGCCAGTGGAGATTTAACCTTGTTAGTGTTTTTATTAGAATGGTTATTATTTTCGTTAGAGCTCTGATTACAAAGTTGCACTGGATTTAAGTGATCTTCCCTAACCATGTCTCCCTAGAATCCCTGTTTTTCCCAGTGTACAGTTCTATAGAACAGGAGATTCTTCAGGAAGACATATATAACATTGTAGGAGAATGTCTGGTATTTTTTTTCTGTACATCTATTTTGGTGTTAGCACATAGTATATGCTTAATAAATAACTTACTAAAATAACTTTACTCTTAGGGAAATTTTATATCACAAATGTTTTTCCATGACCCTAAAGGGGATTATTTCTCATTTCTGTCTAATCCACGTTACCTTTCATTTCTTTATTAATGACCCAGATCGTTTAGAAGAGAACATTCAGCAGAAGGGAGACACAGAAAGCAAGAGGGATAATATGAGGCTCATCAGAAACCTCTGGGGTAACAAATGACTCTAAAGTCAATTTGGGAAAGACAGAGCCTACCTAGCAGCCTTTTATCTTTCTTTTGTCCTAGGGCTCAGTTTTTAATGTTAACTGGATGCTAAACTCATGAGAAGCCAGAGGGAGAGACCACAAGGTCAGCGGGTCTAAAATAAACTTTTGACATCTCGACTGTTAGTAGCCTCCTTCTTTTTTTCAGCATGAGAGAAAAGAGGTCTCTCCATCCACCAAGCTATCTGTGTGCCCCAGGAAGGTAAAAACAAAGGAATGTATGTGCAGTGAGATCAGCCCTAGGACTGTACTTGGTGAGGTGCCTGGTTCATAATCAGTGGACAAATCTTGCAGGACGGACAGTAGTGGTTTCCTTCATCAGTTAGCTTCCAAGAGAGACCAATGACCTTGAAATAGGATGGAAGGGTGTTTAATTACTGTTTACATTAACTGAAGCAAAATGCTAAAAAACAAACATCAAGAATTAAGATGGGGCCGAGATAATCACAGTAAAGTCAAATGTAAGCCATATCAGGAAGCGATTTTTTCACTTTTTGCAGTAAAGATTATACACCTTTTACACATACCTCTAATTGGATTTCAAATGTAGCTTTACTTGGTCTGAGGATAGTGAAACCCAACCTTATATTCAAATAATGTCAACCCATTTTCAAGTTTATTTACATACTCCAAACAGGCCATTTGTATTACAACGCTTTCTCCCTTTTAAAACCACACTAATGAGACCTAAAAGTCCTTCATGATCTGGAAACTGCTTATCTGTGCACTTTTTCTCTTGGCAACAGAAGTCTTCTCCCTCCAGATGCCCCCAATTTCTTAACCATATGGTCTCTGCACATGCTATTGTCATTTCCCTTGCCTGAAATGTTCTTCCCCCTCTTTCTTTGCCTTGTAATTGCTCAACACAGTTTTGTTTAATATGCTTTCCAATAGCCTGAAAGCCCTATAAGAGCAAGCCATATCTGTCTTGTTCACTATTGTATCCACAATGCCTAGCACAGTACCTAACATTTAGTAGGCTATCAACAAATACTAACTTTAATTATACCTTTAAGACTTAGCTCAAACATCATTCTCTTTGGGAAGGTGTCTTGGAACCTTGACATTCTGGTGGTTTACCTCCCTCATGTGCTTTATGAGCTCCCTGTTCATATCTGTTGTCCTGAAGTGCAGTTCTTTAATCGTCTGTCTCTCCTGGTAGGTAGACTATGAGGTTCTAAAGGGCAGAAAGTGTGTCCACTTCATTCTTCTAACCCAGAACACTCTGTATAGCACCTGGTATACCCTAAGGAGCTTAATAAATACCCATGGAGTAGATTATTGATCCATGTTTGAGCTTGGAGGATTTTCACCCATATCCATATCTCTTAAACAGGAATTGGATGAAAGCACTGGGTAAACAGGTCGTGTCTTTCTGTAGCATGCATTTTTACTCAATTTTTCAGGAGGGGAAACATTTAAGTTAAATCACATATGTGTTTGTGTGCATATAGTGAGTTGAGTTCAAAATATACATCAAATTTTAAGATAGAAACTTAGACAAAGCAAATTTACCTTAGGGCTCCTTGTCCACCCTGTCTGGGAGCATGTATTTCCTCTTCTGTGTTGTTTTTGGGTAGTTTACCAGCTGCATGATTAAAAAGAAAGTTAATGACAATGACAGCCAGGATTAAAACTGTTTTTAGATAATATTATGTTCTTTTCGCTCTACTGTCCCAGTTAATTGCCTCATCACATCTATAGTATGGTCAATTTTATTGTAATGCACTCCCAATAAATATGCTCATAAACAAATTAGATTCGCCATAGTTGAATTTAGGTTGAAGGGGAGGGCAAAAGAAGTCATAGCCTGAAGATATCTGAGTAACAGGCATATGGACATGTTAGTAGACTCAGTATCTGAGGTTACACTTCAGGCTTCGCTAGCATATATGCTCTTATTCTATGATGGTGGTTCATTCAAATCCTGCTCTGCCCCTGCAATGGTCTTAGTGTGAACACTATTTTTAGAGGGCCCTGTTTAAAAAAAGATGTTAGAAATATAGCCTGGGCATCTTCCTGACAAGACAAGCACTAAAGACTAACGATGCTTACAGTACCCTGCTGCTGCACAAAAACACCTAGCATTTGTGTAGAGATTTACGTTTTAAACAAAGCTTTGACACACATGATCTTACTTCCCTAACTCCCATAACAACCCTAAACCTAAACTAGTCTCAGAAACTGAAAATAGCACTCAATCCAATTGCTAGCTCTCTATAGGTGCTTTGGTTAAAGAGCCTTAACTGCTCCCCCTTCCCCCGAGATTAGGTAGTGGATGCCTGCTGCTTCTACTACCCAGCAGCATGGGAATAAAGGAACGACTGTATTTCTTTGATCTCAAAGCAATCATGGCAATACAATGCACCCCCCTCTGTCCACTTTGACCCATACGGTCTGTCTAGGCAATTAATCAATGCTCTCAGTGGTAGTTTTCCTATACGATGCCAGCTGTCTTGCCAATCTACCCCTCCCACAGAGCCTAGCAGGACCACACTCTCAGTAAGGCGTCCGTGGGGAAGGTGCTCTGGCCTACACTAGGGGAAGCTGATACTCAGGTACATCTGCCAGTTAAACTCATACTTGAATCCTTCCGGGCCTCAGTTTCCCCAACTCTAAAATGGGCTATACCTCTTTTCTCTTGACTAGTTCCCTTCCATTTCACGCTGGGCGCCTAGGAAGTGAAATCAGTGCTTAAACGCAGCTTAAAGTCCTCTCCTATCCTCGGCGCCCGTCGCTGCGCTGGGCATGCTCAGTAGCTGGGGCCCGCTCGGCACTGGGAGTAGGAAGCAGCTTTCGGCGCCCAGGCGGCTGACTGCGGGTACTTTGATGAATCACGTGTGTCGAGGCCCTCTTAAAGAGATAGGCACCTACTTTCCCTCCACCCTTAAACACCGCCCTAAGGGCGGCGGCGCCAGCGACCGCGGTAATTGCAGCTGCTCAGGGGCAGGGCTTGCCCCAGCGCCAGTAGTGGCAACGGCGTGTTGCGTCGGGGGTGTCTGGGAGCCGGGAGCCTGAAATCGGCAGCTCTCCAGGCAGACACACTCTCACCAGGAAGAGGTGCTATCTAATCAGCTGGAGCAGTGGGACCACCCCGAGGGGCTTCCCCAAGTTGAGGAGAGGTGGGGTTACAGGTCACAGGTGATAAGGCCGGAGAAAGATGGAGCAGCCCGGGGCGGCGGCGTCGGGAGCGGGAGGCGGCAGCGAGGAACCCGGTGGGGGCCGGAGCAACAAGCGGAGCGCGGGGAACCGGGCCGCCAACGAAGAGGAAACGAAAAACAAACCCAAATTGGTGAGTGCTCCCGCAGTCCCCGCCGGCCTTGGGGACATCGAGAGCCCCGGGATCCTCCGGCTGTTGCGCACGGGGGAACCCGGGGCCCCCTCCCAAGGCTAACCGCGATCTGGCTGTGCTACTCCGGGAGCCGCTCAAGGAGCGGCCACGCCGAGGCGCGGAGACGGCGTGGGGGCGGAAGAGCACCCCCTTCTCCATTTAACCCCTTTCTCACTCTTACCATTCCGCGAGGCAGTGCGGAAAGGAGAAAGGCCCCACCCCCAACTTGGGGAGACTCCGAGTTGCTGGGTAGGGTCTGTTGTTTGTCTAACTTGTGGGCACGAATATTCCCGCGATTCCTTTCCTTCCCACCTCAGTCAGTTGCTGGGTTTTGACTCCTAATACTTAGTGTCCGGGTAGGGGAACCTCTTTTCTTTTCAATCCAGATACTTGGGAGCCCACCCACAGACTTAAAAACCAGCCTCACCCTTAAAAAAGCCACACAGCGTAGGCTCCTAGTCTTTGTACTTTACCAGAAATCTAAGGAAGAGTCGCCTACGTGCGCTTTTTCCCGTTGCCTCTTCCCTGTGCTCTCCCAAGAAACACTTGTAAAAGTGGGGGGGAGCGTGGGAGTTCGAGTCTGGGTGAGGTACCACCAACTGTTGTGTATATAATAGTCATTACAGTACTTCCACTTAGTTGATTAAGAACGCTCAAAAGCCGTGAGACTGCGCAAGTTTCATTGCCCAGAAAGTGTGTGAACCAGTGGTAGCAGTCTATTTCCTGCCACTGACTTAATGTGCCGAGGAATGTAATCTATGGGGCCTGGTATTAGGTTGGGAAATACTGGAGTTTCCTCAACTCATCAGTTAAAAGGGTTCCTCTTTTTTTTTTTTTTTTTTTAGTTTATATGAAAATGGTTTAATAGTGAAATTTAAAAACTGGTAGCATTAACAAAATATATTGACTACAGTGTATTTTTCCCAACCATGGCAAATATGCAGACATTTATCAATAAAGTTTATAATTTGGGTGGCATGAGGGAAAATAGTTTTCCTGCACAGATTCAGCAAATAAATCCTGTTTGAAGGTTCTTCCTCTGACTCTGAAGTGCAATCACATGTTGCACATTTAGTTTTCAGTTTTAACCAGCAACTTGTTTGTAATAGGGGAGGAGACTAGTGACATTACTAAAGCCTTTTCTTACGGCATCTGATCATTTGGTATGTACCTGTTGCACTTCTCTCTCTTGCTTTCAGTTTGCCTTTCAATTATGGATTGTCCTTACTGGTCAAAGTATTATTTCAGGAAATACACAGATTTCCATTGTGTAGGGAAGGGACTTAGTGGGGTAGAATAAAATGAACAGTTTAAAGTCTCATCAATTCCACCCTAACTTGAGGCAAGTTGAGAACTTGCTCACTTGGTATGTCCTGGTAACCCAGTATTTACAAATGAAGAAACTGCTTTTTGTGAATTGTCTTTGCTGGCAGAGGGTTAATGGGTTTAATAGGTGCCCCCAGCATCATGAAACTTAAGAAAAGTTTTGTGAGTGTATCACCAAAGTTTAATATATTTAAAAATTCTGATATGATTTTGAAATTTATCAGTTTGTGGTAAATGTTTCCCTTTTTTTTTTTGACCCAGTACAAAACTGTGATTTAAACAATGATTAAAAGTTTCAGCAAAAATAAAAGTGAACTCGGTGTCCACGAATAGTTTGGTACATCCAGCAAGAAACTTCTACTTTTAGGAACTACACTTTCAAGAAAGCACTTATGTCCGTTAGTAATAACACTTTGATTATATTCTTCCTTTCCCTTTGGTATTTGTCCTGTTTCATCTTTTATGTTTTACTTGCTTTGACGAGGTAACTAGATCGTTATGAGATGGTATCACTTTCACTTACTAGCTAACAGCGTTCAGTGTTGAACATAGCTTGATATAGGAGAACGCGTATTTGAATCCAAGAGTTTGTTACTATCAGTTGGAACTTTCTTTTTTGCTCAGATTAACTTTGGAGCCTTACATGATTTTACAAGCAGATGTGTCAGAGTTAATAAAAAATTTAGGAAGACATTTCAGCACATTTTAAGGCAAGCAAGTTGACCAAACAAGACTTGGTAGACTTTTTTTTTTTTTTAAATAAATGCCTTACTCATTATTTTAAGTTGTCTTATTGAAGTGCTCAAGATGTTCTTCTAAGGCCTTTTAGGATGGAGTTCATCTGCGGTTCTTAACTTAAAATATTGCCAGTAAGATAAAGCTTTACCTAGACTTAATTTTATTATTTTGAGTATTATGTTATTAATCACTGTAATAGTTCTTAATTGTATAGGTGTATAAAGGAGTTGTGTGAGATTATAAAAGAGAGCTATATGATCTTAGAAATTATTTGTGTAGGTGCTTGTGGGGGATAGGGGTTCTTAAACTCCTGAAATTGTATGAAAAAATTTGAGTGTATGTAGGTACATTCATTTTTCTGGGTCTCATAGTTCTCATCAGTTTCTCACAGGCACCTGTCACCGATAGACAACTAAGAACTATTAGGTTACCAGAGAGAGAGGGTAAAGGAAATGCCAGTTGATTCCACTCCAAGTTACTAGGGAGGGGAGGAGGTCAGTGATGAAGGGAGAAGGAAAATACTACTGATCACACAAATGATTGATAAGATTATTCATCTGGGAGTAAAAAAGATAATTAGATAATGTCTATATATAGTATTAACTAAGATGAAAGTTTCCATTACATAGAAAAAGTAACAATAGTGATAGTGGATTTATTACAGTATAAGGCTTGTGATTCAGTTGTTTTCGTTTAGTTCCTCATTGTTCTGGAAAACTGGAGAAGGAATGCATGTTTTCTTTTGAGAGGAACTACTTTAATTTATATCTCAACCTTTTGATGGGTATTAGAATTTTTTTTGATGGGTATTACAATATTTTTCAAAGTGACATTTCAAGACTTAAATGACTTCTGTTTAAGATTAAATCAAAATTTAACAGAACTTAGTTTAATTTTCTTCATCTGTGAATCCTCATAATGACCCTTTTTGATTCTTTTTACTGAAGGCAGTCTTCTCTTGAACTTCTCACATTTTGAATAATGCATTAGTAGTAAAGCTTTGTATTTTATGTAACTCTTTGGTTAGGCCCAGATTGTAGCATGTCATCAAGCAGCATGAATTTTAGATTAATTAGTAATTTGGTGTCAATCATGGAGTGTATTTTGTCAAATCTAGTAGAGCTTTAGAAGTATTATGAAGAAGCTGCATCTTGAATCCCACATATTTAAGGCAAGGGCTTGACCATTAAAAGAGGCCATTGTTAAGGTAGAACTAACACCCCTCACATGTTTTTGCATTTTGACTCTGTGTTTCTGAAGCCTTTTGTTCTTTAGATAGTGGAGTCAAATTAGTAACTTGATGTAACAGAAGTTAAATTTTGGTTATTGTATAACTTCCTGAATATTCGGTTTGGTTTTTTTAATTGAATAAATCATGTTTTGATTTAACTGATACAATGGTGAATTTCTTGGAGAGGGGTGCCAGCATGGAGGCAGGAAGACCAGTTAGGAGGAACAGAATGGTTGATGTTTAGAGACCTGGATTCCAGTTGCAGCTCATCTACTCATCCATTTACTAGTTCATCTATTTACTAGGCATATTTCTCTGCACTTCAGTTTCCTCCTGCCACTCCATTGCCTCACCTTCTTGCCACTCAGGCTGAACATCTTCACCAAATTTGAGATATCCACCTTGTGTTTCTCCTTCATAAATCTCACCTGCCTTTCACAGCCCAGCTTGTGTCTCAAAATTCCCTCATTCTTTCATTAAAACTTCACTGATTACTTCAGCTTAACAAAGGGTTTTCCTTATTCTGAATTTGTAACTACTGTGAGTCTGAATGTTATATGCTGATCTTGTATCTACAGAGATTTTAAAGTGCTTCTGGGCAGTGGTTCCACTTTATGCCTATTCTTGAAAACCTTGCAAGGCAGTGTTTGGGTGCAAAACTACTCAGTAAATGATTATTGGCTGGGAATTCTTTCCCTATAGGCCAGACGTTTTGAGAGTATAAATTGTTGAAAGTAGGCTTTTATTTATTTATTTATTTATTTATTTATTTATTATTATGTTAATCACCATACATTACATCATTAGTTTTTGATGTAGGGTTCCATGATTCATTGTTTGTGCATAACACCCAGTGCTCCATGCAGAATGTGCCCTATTTAAATACCCATCACCAGGCTAACCCATCTCCCCTCCCCTCTAGAACCCTCAGTCTGTTTTTCAGAGTCCATCGTCTCTCATGGTTCGTCTCCCCCTCGGATTTATTCCCCTTCATTCTTCGCCTCCTGCTATCTTCTTTTTTTTTTTTTTTAACATATATTGCATTATTTGTTTCAGAAGTACAGATCTGTGATTCATCAATCTTGCACAATTCACAGCGCTCACCATAGCACATACCCTCCCCAATGTCTATCATCCAGCCACCCCATCCCTCCCACCCCCACTACTCCAGCAACCCTCAGTTTGTTTCCTGAGATTAAGAATTCCTCATATCAGTGAGGTCATATGATACATGTCTTTCTCTGATTGACTTATTTCACTCAGCATAACACCCTCCAGTTCCATCCACGTCGTTGCAAATGGCAAGATCTCATTCCTTTTGATGGCTGGAAAATATTCCATTGTGTACATATACCACATCTTCTTTATCCATTCCTCTGTCGATGGACACCTTGGCTCTTTCCACAGTCTGGCTATTGTGGACATTGCTGCTATAAACATCGGAGTGCACATACCCCTTCAGGTCCCTACATTTGTTTCTTTGGGGTAAATACCCAGTAGTGCAATTGCTGGATCGTATGGTAGCTCTATTTTCAACTGTTTGAGGAACCTCCATACTGTTTTCCAGAGTGGTTGCACCAGCTGGCATTCCCACCAACAGTGTAGGAGGGTTCCCCTTTCTCCGCATCCCCGCCAACATCTGTCGTTTCCTGACTTGTTAATTTTAGCCATTCTGACTGGTGTGAGGTGGTAACTCATTGAGGTTTTGATTTGGATTTCCCTGATGCCGAGCGATGTTGAGCACTTTTTCATGTGTCTGTTGGCCATTTGGATGTCTTCTTTGGAAAAATATCTGTTCATGTCATCTGCCCATTTCTTGTTTGGATTATTCTTTGGGT